TAAAATTAGTTGCCGTGGAAGGCAAGTTCTGCCTTGCAGATATTACATTGCACAGGTTTCTCTTTCATTTTCTTTAAATGATCCCACAATTTTGAGCATCATTGCCGGGTAGCCATGATACCAGAGCCTGTCTGTGTAATGTCTTGTGACGTCCACGGCCTACCCCAGTTACCAGTTAGCTGTTCATATGTGTCAAGGACAGAAAGGCAGATGTGGCAGTGGAAGGTGTCAAAGCAGTTTAGAGAGAAATACAAAGTAAAAAACAAAACAAACAAACGAAAAAAAAACCTGACTATAATCAACTATTGAATTAGTCATCGATTATTTTAAAAGTCGATTAGTCATCGACTAGTCATGGCAGCCCTAGAGCTGACAAACTATGTTTTTTGTCCCCAGCCAAGTTTAAACACCACAGTCAGTTAACGAGCCACTGACCCGCATCGGTGTTGATATCTCCAGCCAGAAAACCAAAAARCAGAAAACCAGAAAACCAAAGATGGTCGATTTCAGCTAAAGAGATCCTGTCTATCTGTTTCAGGTTAGATGGCAACATTCAGGAAACCGTCACGTGGAAAAACGATTCTCTCTGAGTGGTTGACACAGCGTGTCGAGCAGCAAAAGTTACTTTTTTTTTTAACTCGCGCGTCATCTGCTTTGGACACACCGCATGTAGGGATGCAATTAAGGGTTTATTAGATTAAAGTTTCTTCCATTCGATTAATTGAAAACGTCCGTTTAAACCTTATTTCGGTATAGTTTTGACTTCATCCAGCAGAGCGCGCTGCTGCTCTACCCCGGCCCAGTTGAACTGAGCAGCAGAAAGCTGTCTGTGGGTGGGACCTCAAACGACTGAGTCTTATTTAGTTTTATTTGTGACACAACAATAATAATGGACTATACCAAACACGAAGAAAAAGTACTGAAGGCTGTACCGGACTATCCAGCAGTATGATGCTTAAAACAAGAGAAGGACGACAGAACGGTAAGCTAACTGTGGCTAACATTAGCTTCCTCTCGTTGAGTTTAACTGTGTGAAAGAACAAAACAAAACAAAAACGTTAGTCGTTAAAAATATGACGTTAATCTAATTTGTGTGACATAACCCGGCCAGTGAACCAATCTAATAAACAGTAAATGAAGTCAGATCATGACATGTCCAGCAGCCCAGCTAAGATAGAATCAGAAGGAGTGTAAACAAACAAACAAATGATTGCCAGTACTCATTTGTATCTCACATCTTTCAGAGATATTTTATTATGTTCTTAGTTTATTTTTCAGTTAATCTTAAAATATTACCCAGTGTTTAAATAAACTTTTCATCTTCAGGAAAGATTAAGTGTTTTACTTTTTTTTCAACTAGCAACTTAACAGATTCCTGTTTTGTTATATTTTATAAATATGTCCAAGTTTAATAATGTGAGAGAAATCCACATTTTTCTGTTCATTGTGTTTAATACAGCTGGTACAATGAATTGTTAACATACTGTACTTTTTTATTTAGTGTGTACAAAATTAGCCCTTTGTGTTATAG